GGGCGGGCGGCCCCGCTGCTCCACGGGCCAGGCCCCGGTGTCCGGCCTCCTCCCGACGTCCTGAGCTCGCGCCCAGCAGAATCACCGGGCGCTGGAGGGAGACCCGCCACCTGCTTGCTGGGACTGAGGGGTTTCTCGGGAGCGGGACTTTCAGCCCTAAATGTCTCGGGCAAACCAGGACAACTTCGTCCCTTGGATGCCGACCTCTGGCGTCTGCCCTCCCAGCTGTCTGTCTCTCCCGAGAAGCCCAGGTCCCAGCCTGCTGTGCGGCCCTTGGAAAGAGCCCTGCCCTCTCTGGGCCTTGAGTGCCCCAACTGAGGAACGTGTGGCAGGAAGAGCCTGCGGCCTGGGCTCAGAGCATGGCTCTGGATTCAGATCCCACGTGGATTTCGGGCGACCGCTGGGGCTTCTCAGCAAAAAGTGGGCGTCGTGACAGAAGTTCTCCCTCAGGTGCTGTGAGGCCTGTAGTGAGGTGGGCACGTACAGAGAGAGCCTGGCAGGCTGGGCCTGTCTGCGTTGCTTTCTCATTAGCTCTCACTCCTCCGCCTCACCCGCTCCCGGCCCCCGAGGGGCTCCCAGAGCCCTCTGAGCAGGCGGAGGCCGCTCCGGCCCCGCCCCCACCCCACCCCGAGTCTCCGGGAAGGGCACGGGATGGGGATGCCGGCCCAGGCTGGGGGTCCTGCGGCGCTCGCCGGCCGGGGGCTCTTCCACGAGGCCATGCCTGTGCTCTCGTCGGAAGCTGGCCGCAACGGGGCTGGGGAAAGCAGAGACTCCAGCCCCACGTCCCACGCCCCGTGGGTGTCCACTGTGCCCTGCCCTCACCGTCTCCAGCCCCGGCCAGCTCCATGGACACCCTCCACCTGCCGCCTCATCCCGGGACTTCCTAAAGGAGCCAGGGCAGGCAGCGCGGGCCGAGCATGTGAGGAGGAAACAGAAGGAAAGTCGCGGCAGAGGCGGACACCCCTTCCCGCTGACCCGCGGCACAGGACTCGAAAACCCCAAACGCTTGGCCTTTAAAGCTCTTCCCACATAGCCTGGTCTGGACATAGGTTGGTCTCACCACATAGGCTTGGAAGCCCAGCACTTGGGAGGCCGAGGCAGGAGGCTTGTTTGAGGCTAGGAGTTTGAGACCAGCCTGGACCACATAGGGAGACTTGGTCACTACAAAAAAATGTTAAATTGGCTGGGTTCGGTGGCATGCGCCTCTGTGGTCCGAGCTACTCTGGAGGCCGAAGAGGGAGGATCACGTGAGGCCAGGACCACTTTGGACAACGTAGCAAGACATGGCTGACTTCAAGCGGCCAGCTCATGAGACTCGGAGCTGGAGATTGAAAGAACAAGCATGTAAAGATATTTTTTCTGGCCTGCATGGTGGCTCAAGCCTGTAATCCCAGCACTTTGGGAGGTGGATGCAAAAGGATTGCCTGAGCTCAGGGGTTCGAGACCAGCCTGGGCAACACCATGAGACCTTGTGTCTACGATAAATCAAAAAATTGCCTGGGTGTGGTGGCACATGCCTGTGGTTCCAGCTATCTGGAAGACTGAGACGGAAGGACCGCTTGAGCCCAGCAGGTCGAGGCTGTGGTGGCCGTGAGCAGCATGCCACTGCACTCCAGCCTGGGTGACAGAGTGAGGCTCCAACTCAAAAAATATATATATTTTTTTTCTTTTTTTGGGGTCTCACTCTGTTGCCCAGGCTGGGGTGCAGTAGTGAAGCCACAGCTACTGCAGCCTTGACCTACTGGGCTCAGGCAATCCTCCCTGCCTCATCCTTCCAAGTAGCTAGGACTACAGGTGTGCGCCACCATGCCTGGCTAATTTATTTATTTTTTGTAGAGGAAAGGTCTTCCCTTGTTACCCAGGCTGGACTCGAATTCCTGGGCTCCAGCAATTCTCCCGCCTCGGCCTCCCAAAGTGCTGGGATTACAAGTGCTGGCGTGAGCTGCCATGCCTAACCAGAGATTTTTAAAAAGCAATTTAACCACATATTGGCCTTGGTCTATCCCTCACAGAGAATAGAGGGTAGAAAGGCCCTCGGAACTCCTTTGTTAATACAGGCACTGTTAGCATGTTGGTAGGCTGTTCGCTAGTTTTTGACTAGCTTGTTAATAAGGTAATTTTGACCCAGGTGGGAGTCTTATGTACGCTTCTTGTGTCCTAGAAGGTTTCTGTGTTGTCATGTGGAATCCATAACCCTCCTATTGCAGTTCTGGAATATTCTGATCCTTAAATATGCCAACGCTTGCCTTATGTAGGTCCCTTATTGTTGAATATCTAGGTGGTTTCCCCTTTTGTTCTAGTTATAAATACCTCCTCGACGCACATTTTGGTGCATGCACCTTTTCCTGTGTTTTGGATGATTTCATTTGGATTGCGTCCCGGAAGCAAGCCTGGGGACTGGTGGCCTGTGCCAGGCAACTGGGATCAAAGACTGTTTCCTAAATGTAGGTGACCGTGTGCTGGGGGGGGCAGAAGTGTGCCCTGGAGCTCCATGCAGCCGGCCACCTGTGCGGAGGTCTGGGGCTTGCTGGGGACAGGGCTGGTGATGCAGACAGAGATAGCAAACATCCCCCTCTGGGAGGCTGCTCTCCCTTTTGCCAGGAGGGAAAAGAGGTTGGAGTAGGAGCTGAGTGAGCCAGAGGAGGCGGGGCCCTGGGGACACTGGGGACAGCGGGGACACAGCCATCAGGATTCTCCCCTGCCCAGCCAGGCAGATGTGACCGGGAGAACAGAGGGATGTGCTCGCAGTCACAGATGGGTCGGTACCGGGCCCTCTGAAGGCAGGCCGTCCACTGGCGCCAAGACCCGAGCAGGGTCTGGGCAAGGCAGAGGCCACCTCCTCTCTGCTGTCCTCAGTATGACAGGCCAGCTCTTGCCACTAGGCCCAGTTTGCAGACGTGGAAATCAGAGCTTGAGCCGAGTGCCTGCTCGCAGACTGAGCTGTTTCTCCCTGGCTCTTTGGCGGCCTGGGCGCTGGAGCCTTGGAGCGGATTGCCCCAGCCCCACTTCAGCCCAGGCTTTGGGACGTCAGCCTTGGAGCCTGAAGGGGACCCTCATGGAGGGCTGAGGTGACTTCAGTACCCGTGGCAGGGGTTGGAGAGGGTGGTGAGATAAGTATAGACGTTTATTCAGTGCTTACTATATACCACACTCTAGGCAAGTTACGGGCGCCATCAGATGTAACCCTCGCAAAGCCCTCTGCAGGAGATGCTCCCTGCGGTGCGCGTCTTACAGATGCGGAGGCAGGGCCGGGCAAGGAGAGGAATCTGCCCAAGAAACACCTCCCGGAAGTGAGCGGCTGGGGCTTGAGCCCCGGGCTTACCCACTGCACCGGATGGCCCAGGCGGTCAGCCCCTCCCCCCGGCCCCGCAGTGGCCTCCCACCCA